AGACCAGTGAACATTTCTGGAAGGTTTGGCTGTTGGATCTCTGTGGTGGTTCTAGACTCTAGGGTGGTATCATATCTTGGCAACACTGACTCCATTACCAAATGTATCCCCCAAGACACCATCTGTGTATGGCTCTGGCTTCTGTGCTGCTTTTTTTTTTTTTTTTTTTTCAGGGAAAGAGTGTTCTGATCAGCTACTGTCTTATGTTGGATGGATAGTCTGATGGGTGCATTTCTCATGATAAACTAGGAAATTGACATTCTGGCTCCTGTGAGAGCATTTAAGGTGAATCTTTCCCAAGAAGCAGATCACCCCTAGAAAGGCTGGCAAAGTGGAACTTCAGGACTGCCAAGCCAAGGACCTGACCTTGGTTCCCACCCAGCAACTGGCTGTTAATCTGCTGTAAAAAGAGTATAAATGCCATAGTGAGGCCTAATAAGAAGCCACAGCATCTCTAAGCTGCCATGGTTATAAACTGCATTTTTAATCACAGCACCATTTTGCCTCAGTTTTCCTTATATTCACATATTTTGGTGATCTAAAGTCTGTTTCTTTCATACACATTTCCGTATTTTTCCTTATGTGTCCTATATGGTAAATTTATGTCCAGGTGCAAGTCATTAATATTTTAGAATAAAATATCTGTAGAAGAGGAAGAATGTTGAATACTGGGTATCCATTTTCTATAAACACTGTATTACTACTGCACAATGACAATTTTAACCCCTACTTTAGTTCTGAGCTGGAATTAATACTCTAAGTAGAGACAGTTGCCTTAAAATGTCCTGAAAAGAGAGGAGAGGCATCCTTCCCATACCGGATGCTTCCTATCTGGTGCATTTCCAGTGGGAATACACAAAAGGTTTTTATGAGCCAGGCTGCATAAGCACACAGGGTAGGAAACAGAGCATTAGAATCACATGAAAGCAGAAGAATAATATTGGTCTCAGGAAGGCTAGAATGGGACTAGAGCACAAGAGCCAAGGCTCTGCTCCTGTAAAAGAGACCATAAAACCCCTAAGTGAGAACTCCATCTTTCCAAAAATAAGAAAAAAGGTTTTTCAAAATGAAACATGCTAAAAGCACCAGAATCTCTTCACTCAAATTGTTCAGAGTGTATGATCTCATGTCCTTACATACACACCCCTCAGTAGAGTCATAAGGAAGAGAAATCGCAACATTATGTTTTTATTGCTGCTATTGGCCTTTAAGAACATGAATTGATTATGAACAATATCATGAAAAACAAATAGTATAGAGGGACAGTGATGATGGGAGAGTATAAAAGATGAGAAAAAAAACTAATCTTTTCTCTACAACACATGAATTGCTTTTTTACTGTCTACTCCATGGACAAATATATTGGGTAACAAGATGTTGGAAACAAAAATGCAAAGAGGTTATCTTTTCACCATGGTGTAAGACCCAGGAAGGCAGGGATTTTTATCTTGTTTCATAAACTACTGTGTCTCCAGCACTTAGTCTCATGCCTGGAATATGGTAAGGATTCAATACATCCATTGAATAAATTTTTGAATATTATCTTATGGAAGAGAAGATGATATCATGATGAAAATATGAACTATCTGTGCTTAATTTCTGGTTCAAGTCCCAAATGTAGGCCTGGTTTGCCTGATGACTTAGAGAAAGTACCATATTTTCTGTGGGGTATTTGATTGTGCTACTCATGCACTTTCCTCTGCCCTGAGCATGAGGAATCTCTCTCTCTCTTTCTTTTCCCTGCGTGGGTTCCCATACTGCTATGAAAATCTAGTTCACTGATGACTGCCTCATGGAGACTTTTCACGATTAATCAAATTGGAATCATTATTCTGCCTTACTCTGTGCATTTGCTACAAGGAATAATAATTGGCACGATGGCAACATTAGAAAAACTTTATCTAAATTTACTTAGACTTTCCCTCTGTTCTTCCCCTCGATTGTCATTTCTTCTTATAATATCTCACTATCCATTTCTTTCCTTACTGGCCTGGTCTTTCACAGGGTCTAAGATTTATTAGTGACAATCTTCAACCCCTGCAACCTCCTGCCACTGTTAAAATATCTGTTATATGAAAATTTCTCAATATCTAAGACACATTAAATGAGTAATGAGTAAATGACTCATTCCTGTACTACAGAACTCAAGAGATAGTTGACGCCAGTAGACAGAATACTGATCTGATAATCCTGCGACCTTGTTTCTAGAAGGAGATCTGTCACTAACCAGTTTCGTGAACTTAGGCTACTCAGTCTGCCTATGCTGCTCTTTTCTCAGGTGTAAGAGTGAGAGTTCGTCTAGAACAGTGCTTCTGTACTTCCGTAAATATGTACGTATGTTCTGTAACACCGATCCTGGTGTGTCATTCAAAAATATGTTCTGAGATTATATTCACTTCAGAATTGCTATCACCTCCTTGAATATTAGAAAGTTGAAGGATCTGACAAGTCCTGAAATTAATAAACTGTTTTTCTTTACCTAATAATTTTTTTAAAGGCAGAGGTAGCATATTGGTAGTTCCCTAGAGAACCTTATGAGGAAATCACTAGTTGAACTTTCTGAGGAGCTTGGGTGCCATTGCAAATCTCTGTAGCTCTAATGCCAGCTACTATAGGTACAGAGGTGGAATAGGGTAAGATTTCTGCTTTTCAGGCATATAGAATCAAATCTGGGGGAGAGACACAAATAAATGTGACATAGTGGCAATTGTAGATTAAGGTCTGTTCAAATAATAATGGGCTTGAGGACTGAGAAGCAAGTAAATCTGCCCAGAGTGGGGGCAGAGGGTGAGGAAGGGAAGGCTCCACAGGGATGTTGCAATAGAGAAGTTGGAAAAGGATGTTCCAGGCAGAAGGAACAAGGCATAAAATCCAAAGGTGTGTTCTAGGCCTGAGAATTAATTCTGTGGTTATGGAACCCAGAAGCGGAAGCTGCCTAGGAAGAAAGTGGAGGGACAAAGTTCTGGGAAGTGGGTGGAGGACTTGTTTGCCATGTGCTGTAAATGCTACCTTAGGGAATCTGTACTTTATCTTGTAGGTAAAAGGAAAATATCCTTAGATTGGGTTTTCATCATTATCATTACCTAATCAATAAGTATTTCTCAAAAAGAATTTTAAAGTGCTAAGGCAGAGAGGAGCTGGGAGAGACTGCTAGGGAAATTAATTCTCATTCTATTGACACAGCTCAAGTAAGAAATGATGAAGGACTGAATAATGAAATGCAAAAGGATGAGATGGAAGAAATAGTTTTGACAGTAATTTAGGAACTACACAGACCAGTAAGAGTGATTGGATAGAAAGAAAGAGGAATACAAAATACCTGTACAAATTCAGCCTGGGAGAGTGTTGTGTGATTATAACATTAATAAGGGTAGGAATTTCCAGGAGTGAACTGTTTCATATAGGTTCTGAATTGGACTAGGGGATTCTATTACACAGTAATTCTCCTGTACAAACATATCCATTGATTTTTGTGTTACAGAGTTCAAGAGTGATTTAACAAAAGACTATACAAGATTCTTTTTAAGGATGTTCAGCATCCACCAAAATATCTATGTCAAACTAAAATTTGGTAGTATTCAATATATTCTTGTCAACAAAGCAGCATTTAAATCTGTAATTTTTTTTTTAAATTTTAGCCTCTAACTGATAAATAATCATTTCTGGGACTATAAATCAATTTTGGTTTTCATTCAATCTGAAATTATTCTTTCAGCCATGGATTATTCTGTATATAGAATATCTCAATAGAAGGTGGTGAAACTATTTCCATTTTCTAGTAGGAAACAGAACACAAACAATTTTAGTGATGGTTTATATATTAAGCCATTATTTTTGGAATTAATCCTAAATTTGGCCTTTAATACTAAATATTATTATTGATAATGGATTAAAATATATTGTATTTGTAGTCAGGGAGTGGGATTGTTTCAAAAACATTGTATGCCAATGAAAATTAGAAATAATATTTCTCTTTTGTAAGGAGTTCATGCTTGCTTATCATGTAAAACTTAGCAAAGATTCTAAAGAGCAATTTTCTTAACAACCTTTTAAAGTAGAGGGTTCTTTTGTTTAGGGGGAGAAGAACTCCCTTTGAGAGGCAAGATGTGGAAACTAACATGACCCAGGCTGTTTACACAAAGCAGTCCACACCTCCCTGATTATGTCAGATAATTTTGCCTTTACCTGAGACAGCTGTCTTCTATTAGCACTGGAAACAAATAGTAAAATCTATGGTCCCTGATCCATGACCACCTTCTCATTTTGAATGTTTTGTCCAAGAGGACCTGGAATCCAGAAACTGAGTTGGTGGGAAAGAGCTGTTGCTAGACATAATTTATCAGAGGAAGGAAAGTACAGTGTCCACCTTGAAAACAAACCAAGCTATCAAAATGACTACGCATTATAAAATGAACACAATGTGGCAGTCAGTGCCACTTTATGATTTCTTTCCCTTTATATCATAAAAAAATAAAGATAAAAAGCAAATGGTCTTATCACCACAGGCAAGGCTGCCTCTCCCTCTGCAATTTCTGCGGAGCATTTACGGCAGCTCTGGAATTGTTTGGAAGTAAATGTAGATGTTTTGGAGGGCAGATACATGTAATGGTTGTTTTAGTATTCTGGGTTTCATGATAACAGGTTGCTATGTCTGAGCCTTGATATTTTGCAGATTTCTAAATGCATTTTATTGCATTTAGAAGAAATTTTGTAGTATTGAGAAAATGCAATGCAGAAATGAGTAGATACAATGTCCGCTTAACTCAGAACAAAACCACCTTATTTCCCCGTAGTTGAAATGGAGGGCAGGGAAGTCAGGCAGTGGTTTCTGAAAGCCAAGAACATAGTAGCACTGTGCCATTCTCTCGCCTGATCCAGTGCCACTCCCTTCACTTGATATCTGTTTACTTTGGAGGAGGCAGTTTTTGAGAAAGGATAATAAATATCCTGGCCCAGTGCCCCAGGAGCCATGACAAGCAAAGAAACATACTTGCCTGGAGATAGCCTTTGCGATATTTAAATGTATGGGTTAATTTTTTATCCACTTTAATAACCGTTTTATTCCTCCTTCTACTTATTTGCTTTCTCTTTCCACTCTGAAGCCGTGGGTACAGAATCTCTGCAGGCAAGTTGCTCCAGAGCACATTGCAGGACAAACCTGTAACGAATAGTTACATTCACGGCATCTGGATTCCTAATCCTTTTCCGAAATGGCAGGTGTGAATGGCTGTATAAAATATTCTATGTTTACCTTCAACTTCTTGTTCTGGGTAAGTGTTTTCCTTTTAATTATCAATTTTATGCAAGAAAGGGGATCTTGATATAAATATCGTAAACAAGAACAGACTGTACACTAGAGAAATAGGAGAAGAGAGAAAATATATTTTCCATGTACTTGTTTGGATGTGTTTGTTCTTTCTTTGGTTATTTCAGTAATTGAAAATGAGCCAATGATTCAAAAAAGTGCACTTCAGAATCTGTGAGGATAAACATTTCATAAATGTTTTGATATTGCTGTAAAAACAATCACAAAGGAAAACAAATACCCCTTAACTAAAGGACAATTATTCTTAGTTGTATATCAAGCAGGCCTCCCTAATTTAAGGACTCTGTGGTAAAAACATGGTCTGATTCCATCCGGAGCCTGGGTCCTGATTCCCGCCCTTCACTTCTGGGTTTGGACAGGTGAATCACAGGGTATGGAACAATAAAGATCATTTTCAGAGCCTCAAAGAAAAAAAAAAAATGGGTCATGAAAAACTTGAGGGGGAAATGATAAAATTCCTAAATCATAAGAAGATCAAACTAAGGCAGTGGATATATATATGTATTGGCATTTTAAAGTCAGTATTTTGATGTGTCATCACCCCACCTTTTAATTGACAGTATTTGTATTTCAGCAATTTATTATGTTTCTCTTGAAAGTTCATTGACATAGACATAACCAACAAATTGATAAGTGACATCTGTCATTGGAAAATGGAAAAACAAGGTGTGAAAAGAGCAAGCTGGGATGTTGGGAAATTGACCTTATCATTTTTAGCATATATAGTACAATTAAAGATTGTTTAAATGTCAATCAGTGGAACTAGCACAAAGTATTTAAATGAAAAAAGTATTTTGTATACTGGATTAAAAGCTAGCTTATCCACTCCAAGGATGAAAGAACTCTGGTTTTGTTTCTTTAGTAGACCTCTGTTTAAGTCTTTAGTAAACAGACATCTCATATCTATGTGTTGCTATATTTCTGTTCTATTAAAATAATGATGAACTTAATTAAACTTAGCTACATGAATACAGCTTTATTGTATAGACTGATTTTCCATTCAATGATCAGTAGTGCTAATGAGTACAAATAGATATATTGGTGAATTTTAAATAACTAAATATTTTAAAAAGTAAAATAAAGAAGGTAAAAAAAATAGGCTGTTTTTAGGTTTAAAAAATGGGCTGCTTTTGCAAATACTAAATGTAGCTCATGCTACATATATGCCAGTCTTTTAGTTAGTTCTGATACATTTCTTCCCTTGAGATATTTAAATTGATTACGCATTGGGAGTAGGATATATAAAAAAAGACCTGTATTCTTTGATTTTGTTTTGTTTCTAGCTTTTTTTTTTTTATGGAGAACTTTGAATAGTCACAAAAGAAGACAGGATAGGTAATCAACTCCATTGTCCAGCCCCAGTGACCACAGAAAGATGGCCAATCTTTCTCCATTTTTACTCTATTCACTTCCCCCACCCCCTATTATCTTGAAGCACATCTCAGATATATAATTTTGTCTGTAAGCATTTTAGTATATATATCTCTGAAACATAATAATTCTTGAAAAAATGTAACCACAGCCAGGGCACAGTGGCTCATGCCTATAATCCCAGCACTTTGGGCGACCCAGGTGGGTGGATCACAACGTCAGGAGTTTGAGACCAGCCTGGCCAGCATGGTGAAACCCCACCTCTACTAAAAATACAAAAAATTAGCT